CGTCGAAGGCGTGGAGCCAGACTGCGTCCTCGCATGACTTGCCCCTGCCGCCGAAGAAGAACTCCTCGGGGCGCTGCCTCTCCGAGTCCTGGGCTTCGCCGCGACGCATCTCCCCCGACAGGCGGGCCAGGCTGCTCGGGGGCCACATGGGGCGCCAGCCCCCCCTCCGCCTTCGCCGAGACGGAGACGTAGACCATGTCGAACTGCCCTGGGACCCTGCACGTCGCCTCTTACAACTGCAGCAACTGCTCCAAAGCGACGGGGCCGTCGTCGCCCAGGTGGCCGAAGGACTGGGGCCTGACACAGCCGAACCCCGCGGCCGTGGACCCCTTGAAGGCAGCTGCCGCCTGCCTGATGTCCGCAGGCGAGGGGGGCGGCCCAATTTCCTCCAGGTCCGCGTCGGGGGGCGCCTCGTCGAGGTCCAGCGGCAGCGCTTCGCCGTGGCGCCACACCTCCCGGTACTCGTCCGTCAGCGCGTCGAGCGTGGCTGCGATCCCTGCTGGCCCCTTCGCCCCACAGAGGTCGGGCGCCCAGGCCAGCGGCGCTGCGACGCGCAGCCCCCGCGCCATCTTCAACTGCCTCACGCGCCCACTTGCGCCACGCAGCGGTCCTCAAGCTTCGCCGAGAGCCCTCGAGCCTCCTGCCCCAGCGCCGCCAGCTGGCCATAGCCGAGGTGGCTGAGCTTGCGGAGCTGTTTCTTCACTTCCGAGCCTCCTGCTATGACAGCGGGTCGCCCCCCAGATCCCCAGCAGCCAACGAGCCCGCCTTGGCATGCAGAGCCTTCAGCTGATCCAACGCCTCGGGGATCGCCGCCCTGTCGCGCAATCTTCGGCGGCTGGCTAGCATCTCTCAGACGGCGGCAGCGACGGCGGCAGCGATGCGCCGCCGCCGAGCGGACGCTGGGCAGCCTCTGGGGTGAGGCCCACCCCCCGTCATCAGCACGTCCTTCCCTGCAAACCGCGGCTCGGCCTCGCGCCCGACGTAGTGGCGGGGGCCTTTTGGCGCCACGTGGTGCAGCCCGAGCAGGTCGACCTCCATCAGCTTGGCGAACTCCCCGCACAGCTGGTTCACCATGTCATGCTGCCCCAGCTGCAAGCGCTGCGCCTCGGCAGCGGCCGCCCTCGCCGTAGGGGAGGCTCGCGGCGGCGCGGGGTTGGGGTCGCGACGTTGCAGGGCGAATCCTGCCCCCCTTCCCCCGGCAGGAGCTGGGATGGCAGCTCGGCTCCGAGGCTTGGCCCCGCGTCCGAGTCCAGCCCCCTGCCGCCGCCAGCCTTGCCGCCGCCGCCTGCGCCGCCTGCCCGCTGCTGCCGCTCCGCGTTAGTGCCGTCGACCACGTCCGTCCTCCTGGAGCGGTCGCGCGGTTGTCCCTGACTTGGGGGCAGGGGGTCGGGGCATTCCCAGAACTGCCCCCCTCCCCCGCCCAGGCCAACGCGCCGCCCCTCCAGTCACCTGATGCCCCGCCCACGCTGCCCCTGCAGCGGCGCGCTTCCCCGGCCGATCCCCGGCGGCGGCCTGACGGCCCGCGGCAGCGCCGACCACGGCCCGAGGGCCCACGGCGCGCGGGGGGCCCACGGGCACCACAAGTGACTCTGCTGCGCGCCCACCAGCAGCAACCCCTCCAACGCCGTCGTCCGCGATCGACGCGGGACTGCCCCGCCCGTCGCCTACCCCGCGGGTGCACTTGGGGGCGGGCCCCAGCAGACCATCTGGCGACAGACCCCGGCCCCTCCCGCCGTTTTATCTCGAAGGTGCACCGTGGGGCTGGGACTTGCGTCATGTCGCCTTCATCTCGCTCCGCTCCGGCGCGGGGCCTTGGCGAGGGCCGCGGCCCGACCGATCTCCCGCGCGGATCGACCCGCGGCACCCGCGCCTCTACTTTGCACTGCAGCGCCCCGCGACCCCCATGGCATGACGTCCTCGTCGACCGTCAGGTCGCAGAGGCCATGGTCCTCCGTCGTGCGTCGCCGTGCAGCCCGTGGATGACATCGGCCCAGCTCGCGCCGAGGTCCTCTCTCGGCCGCTTCAGCGAGGCCGCGTCGGCGCCGATGGGGGGCTGGCAGCTGGCGCCCAGGGCGCTGGCCAGCTCTGGCTCCCTCGATTCCCGCCTGAGCGCGACTCCGACTGCGCCCGCCGCTTGGCCAGGCGGAGGGGCGGAGGGGGAGGGGGGCTGCTGCTGCTCAACCGTCTCCTGCACCACCCCAGAGAGCGCCTCGCCCGCCTCGGCGCCCCCCCTGCCC